TAATTCAGTTCTGGAAAGAAGGTGAACATTTTAATTCTCAAGTCTCTTTTGCCTTACTGAAGGCAGTTCTGCATTAACTTAAAGTGGAAGCCTCACAGGGGATAAGATGTATGTTTTGTTCACTGCTGACTTCTATAACAGCACCAGGCACACAATAGATGCTCCAAATATGTGCTTACTAAATAGTATTAAACGTTCATTTATTAAACTAGTGATATAAATAACATTTTCTACAGCTTGCATCCCTTTCTTCTCAAAACAAGATCTCAATACATTTGTAACAAATTACTAGGTAGATTAGTTATTAAATCTCTTTCTTTGGGAACTGCCTCCTATGGGGAGAAAGTAGTGTCTATCCCATCCCAACACATCCCAGCTGAGGCTGGAGTCTGGTTACCTGGTACTGACTGGGCAAGGACAGCACCTGATCCAAAGTGGACCATTCAGGTTCTCCCAAGATTATGTACTTGAGACCGAGACATCAAGTCTATTTATGACTGGAATTACAATGAATTGAAAAGTCTTAGGAAACCTTTAAATTACCATGTGACTCCAGGAGCTGACAAAACTAGTCTGTGTGTCAGGAGAGAAGAATGAAGCTGATTTGCTAGAAACAGAGACAAATCGCATGTGGGATTCTAGAGCCTGTCCAGCTTCTTATTCTCAGTTCTTCTAGGGGGAGGACTATATTCCTGTCTGTGGGTCCCAGAATCCTTAGAACATTTTCTGTTTTCTTTCGTTGCTTCTGCTGCTGCTTTATTATTTGTGTTTTCTTAAGGTAGTTCGAGCTTATTTCCATTACTTAAAACCAAAAATACACTAGAACCAAAGAATTCTAACAAAATAACCAAGTTATTGTCACTTAGAGCAATGCTAATTTTATCCATGCAAGTTATACAAGTAGAAAAATTTTTAATAATTTCATTTGTAGCTTTTCTTCAGAAAGAAGTTTTTCTCTTCTTGTTGGAAAGATCTATACAGATACACTTGCTGGCATTTAAGTAGTGGGTGATGTGAGGGAAGCTCCTTACCCGGCAAGTAGATATAATTCCCAGTAAAGAGAGACAAGTATCTCCATGTAGAATATGTGAATAGTCCTTGATACACATGTTAGAAAATTTCTACATTATCTCAAACCCCACTGAGATGTAGCCATTGTACCTAATTCAGTGATGCTCTCTTTTCTATCAAACCATTATCATTGATAGAATGCAAGTTTAAAAGGTTCAGGGTTTTAAAAGCTAACAAAGTTTTATTTTCTTGCATGGAAATATTGAGCTTTTTTGGTATTTTTGTAATGAATCTGCCATTTACACCAGATAATTCTATTATCATACATTCACTCAAAAAAATGTATTGTGCACCGGCTAGATATTGTGCTGGGCAATCAGAGTACAACAGATGTGTCCTTTATCCTTCTAGATCTGTAGTCAGGTGCTGGAGAAAGATAATCAATGAGTTAATGAGCAAAATTAATTACTAATTACAATTAGTATAGAAGTGAAGTCAATAGAATGTTACATTTTAAGAAACATATATATAAGATGACAGAAATTTCAATTTGATTCATTTTTCCCCATGTGCAAATGTCCATTTAAATAGTGTTACCATAACTAAATGTGTGAAGATTTCTGGGGTGAGGCAGCACATTTTCCTTGAAGATGATCACAATTAATAGCTCCAGGGTGAATCCTTTGTTAATCTTTTCTTAGGCCATTTTATGTAAAATGAGAGGCTATTCAAATATTTCATCTGGTTCAGTTTTTACATCTTCTAGTATTACTACACGAAAGTATAACTCATAATCATATAGAAATAGACATAGATATCTATTGATTGATTAATTGGTCGATTGATCGTCCAGTCACAGTGGACACTCTGTGAGTGCAGCTAAGAACCATCCAACCAACGCAAAAGAAAAACTAGCAGTACATCCTTTCTGAAAGAACTCTTAGCTCAGTTCATCCATACATTCTTGTCTGGTCTGGGGGAGAGGGAAAAGGAAATTAAAGGCAGAAAGACAATTGAGTTACAAATATCTCTTCTCGGTATAAAAGAAGAAATAATGTGTCCCCCACCCCCACCCCTGTTGTTTAGAGTTACTAGAGAGGGCAGCAGGGTTGTTAGATAAGTACACAGTAACAAAATTCACTTACAAAGGGAGGAATCAAATCAAGCTCTCAATTCCCTAGAAAAGAATTAGACTTTAAAAAATAACTTTTCCTAACTGTAAAAGTACTACCTGCACATTTTGGACATTTAGGAAACAGGACAATGCAAAGAAGAACACAAGAATCCCTTAAAATATTATTAGCAACTACCTTTTTTGTGCGTTTCCTTCCTGAATTGTATGACTATTCATTTATTCACGGGTTCATACTGACTTCAACACTCCAGTGCATTCTCTAAGCTCCTCATCTTTTTTTCTATTTTCTTTTGAGGTTGAGTGTTACCTTAACATCCAAGAAAGTAAACCAAACAAACCACCTCCACAGCAGCTCATTAACTGGTAATTCACAGAGGTCAATGCACCAGTGCTTATAAAAGTTATCAGTACAATTAGAGACCTCTCCGCTATAGGATGGGGTATTGTACCCATATTACCAGCAATAGTACCCAAAAGACAAGTAGCCATATCCGCCCCTTCCCTTTAAAGGAATATATCTACTGTATTTGTGATGCAGATCAAGGACATTATTGCTGGAAACTCGGATCCCTGCATCCTCCCAGACCTGGCAGATAACCTCTTCATCTTTAATAATCACACCCACCGTTCACGTCAGCCACCTACAGTAATGATGGCACCTTGGACCGTCTCCTGGTTACTAGGGAGTCACTGGGAGTCTTTTCCAGCAATCAGATTGCTTTTATCCTTCCAGTGTCCTTACTCTACCTCCAGTCTAATGAACCCATCACATTTCACTGTCCATCCTCTTAACTCTGCCTTTGTTTCTCTCCTTATCCAGGATGGATAAGGATCTATCAAATCTATCAAAGGGGAAATAAATACAAATTATGTAAAACTACAGAAATTAGTAGAAATGTCAATATTTCCAGATAATACATATGGAACATTACTATGGGGGTAATCAGAAAATGTATAACTTCAAGTTTACAATTACAAAAGTAACAGAAATCCATCCTGGATAAGGAAAAAACAAAGGCAGAAGGAAGAGGATGGGCAGTGAAATGTGGTGGGTTCATTAGACTGGAGGTAGAAGTCAATTATTCAACCTCAGAAATGACAAAAATAAAAGCCAGCAAAACACCTCAAAGAATGTGGGGAGTAGGTATACTTCAAAATAGAACTGTAACTAATAAATTAGAAAATGATCAAAAGGGAAGTATAGGAATTATAAAGAAAAACCCAATAAAGAAATGATACAAAACACATCACCCACAAATTTAGATGTAACCAGAGATTGTCTAATTATGATGGGGTATAATGGGGTATTGTACTCCATTATATGTCTGCAACCCAGTGACAATACATTCAAAAATCTTCAGAAAATGTGTTTCCTAGCAAAAGTCAGTTCACAAAACTGACTTATGCACCTAATGGCTCATAAGAAACCCCATCAGCAAATGAAAAATAAAAAGATGGAAAATAAATATGAGATAAATAGAGCTTAAGTTAAGGATGTGGAATGACTGCATGCATTTTATCTATTCTTTCCCCATCACCTCCATGAGACTGGCAAGGATTTTGAAAGGTATGACTATTACGTGAGCTGGAGCGATCAGGAGAGAGTCATCCACATGTGAGGGGTTTCAACAAATGTATCCAGAAGTTTAACTGTTTCCTTTGTAAATTTACTTTCCAATACCAAAAGATTAGGATGGCACCTTTTTGAAAATATTTCATGCTGTCTCCAACCAAATAACAACATATAATTCTTTACTGAAGATGGGACCAAGAACCCCTTCTGCAATCCTCTGCCTCTGGACTCCTATTCCTCGCCACCACTCCATGGCAAAGTGTCCTTCTTCCTCCCCAAGAGTAATCCCAGCCTGTGCACTATATTCTAGTCCCATGTCTCCTTTCTCTTGGCCCCCCAACCCCAACCCCGTCTTCTCCCATTCTCATCAGCATACACACCCTCTACAGCGTGATCCACCTCACTCTTCCCTTGACACCCTCTTCAACCACAACTCCTTTCCTCTGGTCTCCTTCACAACCAAACTTCTCCAGACTGTTGTCACCAATCACCACTGGCACTTCCTCATCTCCCGTGCATTCCAAAAGCCTCTCCAATCTGACTTCCGTCTGCACGGCTTTATGGAGACTCTTCTAGATCACCAGGACTTCCTTCTTGCAAATCCAGGACATGCTTTCAGGTTCGTCTTTATTCAACTCAACTGGCCCATTCTCGCTCCCCTACTTGGACACTCTCCTCTCGGTGGTGTGCTGGACCAGGCTGCTTTGGGCTCCCTAGAGTGGACTGTGCACACCTCAACGTCATCTTTAGTGATGTCATTTTACAGTTTGAAATTGGCCAGGGAAGAAGTATTTAAACCATGGAAATCAGCAAATGCCTCATATTATATCTCCCTTTCCTGGAAAGCTCATTATTAAACATTTACCAGAAAACCACTGCTCCATAAAACCCCAACTTGTATGATTTCCTCCTTCCCATTGGGGCATCCAGTGTGGCAAGTGAATGCCCACACCCCAAGCTCGTTGTCTTCCCTTAAGTTCTTCAGCAGGACTTTGTACCACAGTCAGTGGGCTGCTGGGTAGATGAGTAATGGTTCACAAAGCAGACTGTTACATTTTCAGGAATTTTGCAAGCTTGTTATTTAATACAGTCATTATTAAAAGTTATACCAACTTACAATTAAATAAATTACATCAAAAGCAAAAATAACACATCTTCAAAACTCGTCACTGCTTAATTATTTTGTTATATTTCACTATTATTTATATTGAGGTTATCTGTAGGCTAGAAATGTTCTCTCACTTTGCCTCCATCCCCACCACCCCCTATTGTCCCCCCAATCCTGCAACTGAGCACCAAAGGCCACTTTGCCCCACATATGTGCCATGGCTTTTCTCTGTTCCTTATTTATACCCTGTTGGCACAACCTAAAAGACATCTTCAGTCCAGAAATCTGCCCACTTCGGGCTTGATTTATAACTGAATTAACTTTTCTATTGATTTAAGTCCCATGGACCCACAAATATTTATTAGAGCCACTTAAAACCATGTAAAAGCATTTTTGAAATGATTCATAATATGCACATCAAGATGTACATAATTTCTAACATTTATTTTTATGCTTTATTAATTAAAATTTAATTCATTACATTTTCACTAACTAATGACAGTAAATATACTATTCATCTTTTCACTTATATCCTTCTTGCCTTTCTTTTTCTCCTCTCCCTTTTTTTCTTGTCTCTTTCTATAACTCAGTCTTACCTCTCAAGTATAATGTCACTAATGAGGTCATTATGTTTTTCTATTAAAATTCATACTTGAGTTTAAATTTTGGCCTAATTTACACACTGGCACTCTGCCTCATGCTAATTAGCCTTAATGACCAAATCCCCCAACAATTTAGCAAATGTAGATATTTCAGGTGACTTCAGTCACCCGATGTTAAGGTTATTTCATAATAAAGCTTTTTATTATCATTATGGTGTTATGAATGCCATAATGTTGCAATTTCTTTGCACTCTGAGTTGTCAAGGTTTCTTTATATTCCACTTAAACTGTAAGTTGGGTGTCTGGAAGGGCAATTTTTCTTTGTGCAATGATGAGTCAGTCTAATTTTTTAAAAATTGCCCGATTCCTTATATTGACACACATAAAGCCATGTTGTGTTAACCATGTCATGCAAAGTGACTTTAACTCCAAATGAGCTGAGCCCTCAATGTAATTTAATTATCTCTTAGTAACATGAACTATGTGACCACAGGAATATGATTATAAGCAATTGTTAGACTCCCGGCCTAGCCCTGCAGTAGACATCATCCTAATGGTGTGACTCCAAGTGCTGGTTTCTAGAGCAGCAGAAGCAGGAGGAGGGAGGCATGGAGAAAATGAGAGGAGAAATAGGAGAAGCAGTTTAGGGGAACAAAGAAAGAAGGAGGCAAAGAATAAATAAAAAGGAAAGAAGAAAATGAATGAGGGGGACTAGAAGAAAACATTCTCTAGATTTGGGCCTTGCTCACAGCAAATGTTTGAAATATGTGCAGTTGGTTTTTGAGATCATGAATTTTCATCTGTTTCCGCTTCTGAAGTTCCCACCCTAACCAGGCCTGTTCTACCTCCAAGCTTCAGCCCTTCCCCTTTGCCCCACAAACATGTTCCCAACACTGCCCTTCCTCAGGGTGTCTGTTCTTCACAAGATAGCAGAGAATACCAGTCTAAGAGAAGTTAGTCATCTTGTGGAGCTTCTATTCTCTACTGGGAGGAATTCCAGTCAATGCAATAAAACAAAGAAGGGGAAAATGAAGGCAGTGTTTTGAAGGAAGCTACCTTTCCTGGGAGTCATATTTCTTCTGAGCTCCATTCAGCTGTCCCTGGTGTGGCTGGCCGGGTCCATCCTGATGGGTCTACGGGTAGTCAGAAAAGAGACCTAGCCTCTAGTTGGCCATTAGGACATGTTTCTGAATCAAGTTAGTTTTTTGGTTCCTTATTGTTTTTCAAAAGAGCCCCCCAGGATGGCCAAAGAGTGGAGCAGAGAGGACTGGTGGTTGGCCTGTGTGCCCCTGTTGGGCCTCGGCCTGAGGGAAAGGCCCAGTTGTGGGTGGGGACACCATGGCCTGATTTCCAGTCTCCTTGTCCAGATTCTCCATAGTTTGCAGTTCCTGGCAGTGTTAGTAAATGAATGTGACTACGTAGCTTTGATTGCTTGGTACTGGGAAGGTTTTAAAGAAAGAAAACTGGGGGAAATCGTTGGGGATGCTGGCCACATTTGCAGTACTATATGATTTTAAGGATGATTCTCTGTTGAAAAGCGCCATGTCTAGGAACGAGATATACATGCATGTGTGCCAGCCTTCAGGTAACCACGGGGGCTGCTCTCTGGAGTCACTGTCCCCACCGTTATGGAGGAGCAAGCTCTGCTCGGGTGCAGGATGCTTGGCCTCCGTGCTGATGCGAAGCCTCCTGAGACCACAGACAGCCAGGTATTCCGTGGGGAGAGTGTTGGGGCTGCACAGAGAAAGCTTTAGGTCCTGGACCAGTGTGAAGTTCAATAGGAGGCCCAGGGCGGACGTATCAGTGAACCAGATGGTGAGGTGGCCGTTGTAGCTGGCGCCCTCCATGGCAGACGGCAGGACAGTCCTGCAGCTGCACAGCAGATTGGCCAAGCTGTAGTCACAGTCCCGGATGTCGGCAGAGCAGCTGCAGTTCCGAATGGTGCTGTCCTTTGTGAAAATGAGTGTGCGGTTCCTCTGACCACCTGCGAAACTGTCAAGGGCAAAGACGCCCAGGAGGCTGATCAGGAGGCTGCGCCCAGAAGGCTGTGCCATTCTTGTCTCAGAGTGGGCCCGCATTCTTGTCTCAGAGTCTCCCCGTTCAGAGTTGATTCATTGGAACTCACCTGAGGAAAAAAAATAAGCAGCTTCCTTAACATAGGGAATCACGGGAAATATGCAGCTTTGGGGGAAGGAGCCACATCCCTGAACTCTGCTCAGGTGAGGCATGAAGCTCCAGGGTGTCCGCTGGCAGTGAGACCAGGAGGCCAGCTCATAAGCAGGGGCAGCAGACTCTGGGAGGAGACCCTGCATCCCGTCTGTGGGCAGGGCAGACAGTGATGTGAGGGTGCACATCCACCGAACACCCAGTTCCTAGCACTGAGCACCTGTCAGACCCTTGCTCAGGCCTCCCCGCCACCCCCTTCCCAAGTCAGACTTCCTGGAATTCAGGAAGTGGACCAGCACTTCCTTGTTGGATTCGGCCACTCACTGAATCACAGAGCATGAACACCAGTGAAACATTTAGTTAATGGTAAACTTTAATTTCTAACTAGACAAACAAGCTCCCTCGATGATACTGATCTGCATATAGGTTCGTACACACTTGGCCTTCTAGAAATGGAGTTGATTTGGATGGTGTTACCCACCCATCAATTGCTGTGATCTTGATCTACCTACTCCTATCCTGTAATGCATTTTATTTACTTATTTTTTTAAATTTTATTTATTTTTGCATAGAAGAACTGGGGTATACGCCAGAGGTGTGAGGGGTGAGAGGATTCACCAGAGACAGAGTCCCCACTGCCTGCAGGGCAGGCAGATCTACTGAAAGACACTGTTGAGGGGAGCAGCGGGGAGACAGGTGAGGTCTGCGCGCCATGTGGGTTAGCTCCCTGGCCGGGGATCGAACTCAGGCCACAGCGGTGATAGTGCTGAGACTTAACCCCTAGGCCGCCAGGGAGGCCCACCGTAATGCATTTTATGAATTAATTTTATCAAATAATTTATTGTTGGGGTCTCAAACTAAGACATGAACAGAACCAGTTCAATGATCTGAATAAGGCAGGAATGTCTGCGTAGTCAGCAACAACACTGACATCCAGCATGGGGAAATGTGCACCATGGTGCCTGGCATGGAATAGATGTGCAGTCTTCTTTCATGGTGTAATTGGAATAAGACACTGTGAAATAGGGCACCCGATTTCAGTTTTACAGAAATAATTCAATTTCCCCTGAGCTACCTGATAATTGAAGAAAGACACCAAACAATACAGTTCCGCTCACACATACCGATGAGCACTGGGGGTGCATGCCAAGGATGGCAGGAGACTTTTGGCCAGGAAAGTACAGAACTAGGGAGGAGCCCCCCACAAGAAGGCCTGATGATGGACCCATGGAAATGGCTGTCTGGGGGGTTTTAACATGTCCAAAGAGGATGGTGACAGTTAATAAAGCAAGGCAGACGTGCAACATTTACCCTACAGAGTAACTGTGAGTTAGCAAAGCAAGGTAGAGAGAAAACTAGGGGCAGCAAAGGTAAAAATTGGGGGGGTCATATAGACAGGCAGGCAGCAGTAGCCCATTGGCAGATAGCTGGTGTGCAAGGCAGTTCAGAATTAGCTTAACCAAGGAATTTGAACAGAAGGCTCACAGCAATTGCCACTTCATTCATTCATTCATTCATTAAATGCTGATTGGGGGTTCATGCATGTTCTTGGCTAAACCTAGAGGTACAGCCCAGAATAAGACAATGCACTTAGGGTGCTTATGCTCCCAGGGACTTGATTCTGTCTCCTGGCTCTGTGAAGGACAAAGAGGCTGCAGCAAAGGCAGGAGGCACGTAGGACCCAGCTCAGGCTGCGTGCCCAGGCCATGCAGAAGAAATAAAGATGAACAAAACCTGGGCCCTGCCCCCCAAAGTCTTATATACCAAAAAGAGAGATATCTAAGGCCAACTGAGCAGTGCTCTCCGAAGCATACGCACTCTTAGAGAGGTAACATTACATTACCTGGAAGTCCCTTTGAGGATTGAGTATGGCGTTTGTTGTGTTTGTGTTTATTTTGAAGTTGGAGTAACGTTTTCTTAAAGGATTCACTTTGGGGTTCATTTTGCTATCAAATTGAGAAGCATGTAAAGGCCCAAGTGCTCCCAGAAAAAGGGGCATAACAGTTTCAAATGGTTTTAGAATGTGGCAAGGATGACTCCCCCACTTAGTAAGGAACAGTGAATAATTTATAAATTACAAGATAATTTTAGATGATCAGCTGTCCCAGATTCTGCTGGAGGTTTCCAGGACTTCATGTCCCAGTAACCCTGTCATGCCAGAATGGGAAACCCTGGCATCAACACCCGTGACCTGCTCTGACCCCAGCCCGAGAGGGGTAGGAAGGGAAGGACCTCTCCGTCAGCCTGCACATGATGAGCAAGTGCCTGGCCCTCTTCAGGTGCTGATAGTGTCCAGCATGGAAGAAAGGGACATGAAGGGAGAATGAAATTGATTTCCTGGAGAAAGTAGGGCTGGAGATGTCAACAGGAATTTGTGGGCAGCTTTCCTGCAGTCAAGGCCCAGCCTGACCTCAAAGGGGCTCCTGACCTCAAAGGGGCTCCTGCCCTCTGGTCATCAGCAACCCCAAAGGCCAGATCAGCGAGGCCCGATGCAGGAAACCTCATGAAAGGTTACAGAGCAGGACAAATATCCCTGGTAATCAGCTTTTGGGGTCATCACAAAGATGCCAGTGGGACATTTTTCTCTTTCAGTTCTGCCACACGTTTCTTCCTGTAGGTTTGTTGAACATGGCTTGGGAGCACCCGAGTTTCACTCTGTAGTTACTCCTTTGTGGGCAGATTCCAGCCTGGCATAAATGGAGTAGGCACAAACACATTGCATGTCCCCTTCCCCTGCTCCACTTGTGCCCACAGTGGTGATGGGGGTGGGAGACAGAGCTATGTTAAGACAGAGCAGGGAAGTATCAATGATGAAGAAGCGGGGTGCTGAGAAAATGGTGTGTTGGGTGAGTCATAGGGACAGCCCAGCAGGACCCCTCAATTGTAGTCCTGGCCAGCCCCATAGCCTATCAATCTCTCTGCTCTACTTTTGGATTTTTAAGATTCTGGTTACTCTGTGTTAATTATATAAGTAAATTTTCTTTGCTTTTTTCCTACACAAGAAATATTCCTCTACTCAAATGTCACCTCCTCCAGGAAGCTCATCACGATATCTTCTACTCCCAGGTGCAGACTTAACACTCTATTCAAACTGTTATTACAGTGGCTGTTAAGACACACTGTGATTATGGGTTCAGAGAAAAAAAAGTATCTATCTCAACAGAATCAGACAAAAATGCACTGATCTTGAAGAGTCACATGCTCAGCCCTGAAGTCGATGAGTGGGATCAGCCACACAGTGGACAGAGAGGACAGCAGACTGCTTCAATAAAGGGAAACTGGGGAGCATTACCAGAAAGCCATCAAGGTAGAGGGTCAAAACAACAGCAACCCTTTATATCCCTGGGCTCCAAAGTCCCAGGTCATCTTTCTACTCTCACTGTTAGCAAACCCTGCACACCCTTTTAATAAAATACACTCCTAGGTGCAAATCCATGTCTCCCTTTGCAGCCTACACCCAGATGCCAAATCACCTCCTTTACTGGAATTCCTCTTCTCTCCTTCGAATCTACAAAGATTTGTGTGTGCTCAAGGGGTTGCATTTGTGACGCATCCTTGCCTAGCTCCTGAAGACCTGGTTTCAATGTGTGTTTCTGGGGGTGACCAGACATTGGCTTTCTTCTGCCTTTCCCCCCTAGTGCTGCAGCTCAGGTTTGTATTTGAGACCATCTGCTTCTTGCTGGAGCATCTTGCCATTTTCTTTTTTTTCCCTTCAAATTTTATCAAGTTGCCAATCATTTACATAATTTGGGGAGCACAACTCTATATGTGCATATGCTTCACTCACCCTCCTCCAAAGCTCCAGCACCACCACCTTGTCTGCCCCCTCATCCATCCTCCATTCCTGCCATGCCCCCCCCAATAATCACTACGTGGTGCTCTTATTTCCCATTCCTTGAGTTCTTCCCTAAGTGCCTGCCCACTTTTAATATAAAAATCACTTCCAATTTCTAATTAGACTCACTTCTGACTTTAAATTTTCAATCAAAATTTTTAATTGCTGTAAGGATTTGGAGAATGTCGCTAGATTTTTTTTCACAATTACTTTTTTCTGGTCTTTTGTGTTAAGACTATAGAATTCAAAACATCATTATTCATGACATTTCCAATCTGCTTTGGGCAAATGGTCCCCCGCTAACCTCCCACTGACACAGTATCTCCTTACTAGTAATATCTTCTTATAAACAACTAGTTCAGTTTGAAACATTGCTTTTGGAGCCAAGTATAAACATTATCTAAATGTTGGGCGTAATCCTAGATTGAGAAGGAATCCGTGTGGAATTTGTTTTGAAGCAACTGATGTCTGTATCAGCTCAATTCAGGAATCTTTGCTTTCACGCAGTTACTGCTAATATTAATCACCATTCAGATGTCTCCAGCTACAACATGAAAATAATACATGAGCTAATTCTGCATTACAACCCTGGTTTTTAAACATCTTCTATGATTTACACTCAGTTTTCAGCATCTTGCCTGAAAAATTCAGGTGGGTTGACCACCACCACCACCTGAGCTTTTGCTCTGGTACACAAAACCAGGTATTGTGTCTTACAACCTAGGTATGTCAAAAACTTCTGGTGCCACCAATAACCATGTTCTCCTCTCCTCCTTTGCTGTAGCACTAAGCATTTCCAAGCTTCTTGCAGTGAGGTGCTAGCATGTGACTGAGCTCCTACTGATGGGACGTGGGCAGAAAATCATGTGGAGAACCCAAGAGCTTTGGAAGACCACAGAAAAAAAAGATGAAAGCTTGAGTTCCTGAATGATTGTGTGGAGCAGAGCACAGCCTCCCCACTCCACCCCTTTAAGGTGCATTAAGGTGCATTAAGGTGTAATATATAGGAAGTGCATTAAGGTGCAATATATAGGAAGTATTGACCTTCAATTCTCTAAATCTTTGATATTTTGACGTTTTTCAGAGCAATCAGCCTACCCCCATGAATGTAGCAGGTGTCGATA